ACAGGGGCGGGTGTGGATAGAAGAAGGAAGCCAGGAGGTGCTCGAGCAGCTGGCCTTGTGAGACTGATCTTTGTCTGGCCTCTACCCGTTGATCTTTCAGGCATGATTGGATCTGCGGCTGAGAGGAGCCATCTTGTATAGCTCGCAGGGTCATGGAGACACGCAAGCCATCACACCACGTCAAGGCGCAGTCTCATCGTGATGGTCAATATTCTTGAGACTTCAGTCCATATGAATTCTCTATCTAAATGGGCTACCAAAGGACAGCAACCGAAACTGACACAAGAAAGTGCATGGTTAAAGGTTGCAAAAACAGAAACTGAACCGATCATATCGGACGCCAAGTAAAGCTCTTAAATCTCTCCGGCCTACAAAGCTGTAACCAGAGCTGGATTCCAAACTGCCCCGATCGTCACTCACTGGTAACTGTTATCCGCAGCATCCGCTATGTCATCTCACGGAACGAGCCAGTTAAGTATCGAAGCTTTTAAGACCAGTGGTTTAATCACCCGAAAGCGTCTCAGAGAGGGTATTGCAGAGTTATTATATATATATATATATACCTTAGCACCTTAATGAACGTAAAGGCATTTGGATCTGGGAGACGGATAGGAATGGCAAGAAATGAAATCTGTGAGTAATGAACGAGTAGGATCGACAAGAGTTGCGTGTGCGAACTTTTCAAGTGCATACAAACGACTTTTTCACAGGTTAGGTGGCAACTCCTCCAAAGAGATTGAACAGAAGCGTCTAATGATGGTCAGTCCACTTCAAAGCAGTTCAAATTTTTTCTCTAAAAGATTAGAAAAATGAACAATAAGTTAGCAATAAAGTAAAACGGATGAAACACTTTGGAACATGAATTTGGAGATAGCTGATTGTTGGTTGAAGTTTACGAATATGGAAAGCAAGTCGTCGAAGTTTAGTGACAATATACTGACTGTGAGAGGTTCAGTAGGGATGATCGCGTATTTTTTTACAGCTCAGCTGAGATACCGTTAAAGAGCTAATCTAGTGCAAGTCAAATGGGAACCAGGAAAAACTCGATAGCGGAAAGACATTCGAAACGTTCAGACACATTAGGAGAGAGACAGAGGTAGCTGGAAATTGTTCAATTTTATGCACTTTATAAGAGAAAGCCCTACTGCTCGTGCCGGAGGTGTTTTCCCATCAAAGTGAGAGGACGAAAAGCCGACATCCGGGGCAATAACCGGGTTGGTGGACCACTGGTAGTTCACCTAAGAGAGTTGGCAAAAAACCCTGATTCCAAACCAACCATGAGGAGGCGTACGAACGACACACAGCTTCCTGGTTGTGGCAGTGATCACCGGCTCGATTGGTCATTGAGGGGTATTCTGTATCTTGGACGTTTGACCTCGTCCAAAGGGCGTATGATCCGATGAACTGAACACCGGCCCCCAATGGATTACGGTTTCCGCACACCGCCCTACTGCCTTGCAAGTCAAGCTTTGGCTAACCGAAGGCTCCGGTTGTGCCCTGGCTTGGCCTGGGCAACCTGACAGTACTCGGCCCACGTGCAAATCGTGGAACGTTGTAAGAAAATTCTCGACGATCAGCTGAATCAGAGATGACCGACTGACATAAACCCACATCATCAGCGTATTTGAAGAGAGAAACAAGAGCGTTAGTAGACATATCACTAAAATACATAGAAAATAAGTATGGGAAAAGGACTGCGCCTTGGAGTATTCCGGAGTTGTTCACCATTGATATGGAATTGTTCCAACTTAGACCGGTGCAATGAGAGGAGTAATGAGTAAGCCAAGCTAATAAGTGCTTGAGGCAATCGATGGTCTTCAGATTACCGAGGGAGTGGGTAATAGAACCAAAAGCAGCTAGGAAAAAGCGTGCAAGCTTCACAGAGCGGTTCAAAGACTTGGCAATTTTATGAACAGGTGAGAAAAACCGGACCTGGCTGCATCTGTTAGGTTTGCAGGCAAACTGAAATGGGGTATACGGGACATCAAGACTGGATGCGTGCAAAGATAACACGTTCTACGAGGTCAAGACCAACAGAAGTAAAAGCGATAAGACGGAAGCGTTCGGTTGGAACCATCGAATTAGAGCGTTCGGGAATGGGAACAATTACTACCGGTCTCCATCAGTCTGGAAGGAAACAGGTGCTTAAGAATAATGCCAATATATTACCCTGGGAGGATGAGACCAACGCGAGCAACACTGGACATGGTTTTCATGGTTAGCAGAAGCTGGATTTCTCCTTTTGAAAGTTTCTCCTTGAATGCGAACATCCAGAGTAACTGGTGCTCATCACGCAATTATCTGCTTTTAAAAAAGTATTCATGTAGAACACACGAAAGCGCGAACAAAGAAAATGCGATCAGCCCCACGAACACCGCAGTTATATCTGTACAACCATGCTGTCGTCATGCAATTCGTTGGTCTCGACTTGGTCTGTTTGGCCAACAGTCAAGAAAACAAAGAGAAAACCCATTACTATGGGAAAGTATGCAGTACCATAGGGAAAATAACGTGTACAACACACACACACACGCAGCCAGACCGGATAGATTGCGGTGGTGTACACAACTTCTGACGAACAGGCCGATTTCAAGGAGACACCATAGATATCAGGTGAGCGCATCTATCAACCAAATCCTCAGTGTTTGACGGGATTTGTGGTAGTTCATCTGTCAGCGAAGTATACCATGCACAAATTTCGAAATATCTTTTCCTCTTGCATTTCTCTACGGAATGGAATCAGGATATAGGTCACACTCTGATGTAAATTGCAGATGTAAAACAAAATAACTCTATCAGTCAAATGGTCCATGCAGCCGCACAAGCCCGTTCCAGTAATGGTGAACGGGGTAACCTTCAGGTTTTCAGGAGTGCGCGTTGGGTTGTAACGGCATTGAAACCAAAATGGTCGGACATGTGTACAGTACTAATAATTGTCTTACCTTCCCTGTCTCTTTCAGGAGCACAATGGTTGAATAAGGTGAACGCTAATAAGGAAAAAAACAGAAGAGTTGGGAAACACATAAGAACCCATAATCGATAAGAACATTGTGTGCCTCCCTTCCAGATACAGCTTATACATTGCCTTTTGCCGTTCGTTCCGTGCTTCAACATACGTTTGTGCGCGACAGTCGTGTTCTCCTTTTGTGAGCGTGTCTGACGGTCAAAGGTGCGATCGAGTGTCTACTACTATCAGTTCAGAGCGTCCCCGAGGGTCTTCAAACGTGCTGCGTGATTTCTGTACCCACGTCACAAGTCAGTCCTATTCAATGGCCTCTCATGACCACTATATGTTCACCAAAATCGCCGTGTGGGAAGCCAACAATCGGGCTGATAGACCAGATAGCTTATCCAGGGGTGATGGAATATCCTGTGATCAAAACGACGAGAATGCAAAGCAACTCCAAGACGCTGTGATTGCCGACTGGATTGAGTATACTGGGCATAGTTGACGCGTGAATTGTAGATTATCGGTTTCAGATCCACTCGACTGAACATTTAACCCAAGGAACTGGTCACCTCGTGCCCGTTTACTAACTCGCCTGTCAGACTGCGGCTAGGCGACGGGTCCGGTTAGCCGATTCGCCTCGGACAACTTGGTGGTGTTGCGCTCATCAACAATATTCTGTCCAGCACATGATTTAGAGCTGTTGGAAGTAGGTATACTCCATCTTTTCAGTGCCGTCTAAATACACAATTTTAAGACCCCCAAGTGTGTCATTAGCTTATCACGTGCACGGTTTGTCGACAAATCAATGAGTTTGATTGGGGTGGTCGCCTCTCGTGCTCAGCATATGACCGGTAAACAAAGCACCCGTATGCTCCGTTAGGAACAATCAAGTCTTAAGCTTGAGAGAAATAAGGGGTAAAGACTGTTTCAGAGTATTTGAAATCTGGTTTCATTATATTTTTCACATATAGCTGGTTCACAAAATTGTACCTGTCTGATGTTAGGGAAGTACACATTTTCGCCAGTATCGGTCCTCGAATTCGCATTATACACACGCATACACAGGGAGAGAGTAGGATAGAGAGAGAGACAGAAAGAAATGAAGGATGGAAGATAGAGACTAAAAAATGAAAATAAACAGAACTGAAATTCAACCCGAAAGACAATCATCTCATTGTGGTTGTTGGTTGCACTACTCCCAGACCGGGAATCGGACGAAGTGGGGACAAAGATTCGTGAACGAGAAGAAGAAACTTTACTTTAGGGATGGATGTTGGGCAACAGCTACCGGAGTAAAATACAACATTCTGGTAGCAAGGCGCTTGATCTGATCGGACAAATGTACAGACATGGGCGTACAAACAGTCACGCACATTGTCCACCCATTGGGATCAATCATCCCTAGGTTAGAAAGAAATAATTCACAACGGATTAGATAGTCTGAATCCGGCGTGATCTATAGTATATAGTTAGCTGGTTGATGTCGTGAAGCACGAACAAAGAATGGAGTAGTGCAGTTTGGAGCGATGGGATACACACATGTCGGACAACTGGTGTCATGGAAACGTTGTCCCATTTGAAATGATCTCCTCTGTGTGCGTGGGTGCGTTTCGTGGTTATGTATATCCGAGGGAATAGTACAGTGCATGCATTGTATAAATTCACCAAAAAGAAAAAGAAATAATTCGTCTCGTTTTGGGGGTTAGAATAATGATCAACTGATAAGGTTTGCATAGTCCGTAAATGGTTGAAAGTTCTTTTTCGAAAATCTCTAAAAACAGTCAAGAACAGTTCTGCATGAAATATCAGATTGTCGAAGTGGTGAAAAGTGTCGTTCGTGTAATATAAGATTGGAAGAAGAAGAAATAGGAGTTGTTCGGAAGTGTCAGGCGCCAGGTTTAATGAAAGTGCACGGCCGGAGTGGGGAGTGGTGTGGTGTGGTGAGGACGGGGTTGCGAGGGATTGATCTGGACTAACTCGGTGCTACTCTAGATTAGTTTCTGTTTTAGAGTGCGAAATGCGAGCGAGCTCTCCGTAGTACGTAAGCGGTTTAGATATCAAAACGATGCGTGCTCGATGCGGCAACAATTGGTTTCGAATGAGCATCCTCCAATCGAATAACACGCAATGTGTTGGTCGAACCGGAACCGGCTTTCCAACCCGTAACGATAATAACAAAACTGTTCGGGTGCAGGAATGATCGTTTCATTCCGTAATCAATAGCATAGTGAATTCGTCGATCTACATCTTCGTCCCATTCCTCCGTACGTGGTTCTACAAAGCGGGAAGAAAAGCCAAACGGGAAGGAGAGACATGTTGAATAAAAATAAAACGATTCATTATAATTGCACATCGTCTCTCTCACACACCCGTATCCACACCCGCACGCCAACTACTGACTACTGATGTTGCATAGCAGTTTACACCAAACACCAATCTAAGGCGATCAAATTTAAGGCAGTTATTACAATCATTCATTTGGCACTTAAATCCTACAGAATTGGTAGCCATAGGCTCGACCCGAAACTAGGAAACATTGGCAACGGTGTGCGTGACGAACGAATGAAAT